GAGTTTGGTCCACCAGGCTGTTGCTTGGAGCGGCCCGCAGGCCCACATACCCACCACAGCCCGGTTGGTCCGGCACTCCTTGGAGGAATAAATCTAGTTTCCTCTTGAAAATGTCCACGGTTGTTCCGGCAATATTTCTTATGCTTGCTGGGAGGACGTTGAACAACCGCGGACCTCTGATGTTTATACAGTGTTCTCTGATTGTGCCTATGGCACCTGTGCTCTTCACTGGACCTCTGATGTTTATACAGTGTTCTCTGATTGTGCCTATGGCACCTCTGCTCTTCACTGGTTCCATTCTACATTTTCTTCCATATCGTTCACTCCAGTACGTTGTTATTTTACTGTGTAGATTTGGTACTTGGCCCTCCAGTATCTTCCAGGTGTATATTATTTGGTATCTCTCTCGTCTTCTTTCTAGTGAATACATTTGGAGGGCTTTGAGACGATCCCAATAATTTAGATGCTTTATTGCGTCTATGCGTGCCGTATATGTTCTCTGTATTCCCTCTATTTCAGCAATCTCTCCTGCTCTGAAGGGGGAAGCGAGTTATGGAGCAGTACTCAAGACGGGACAACACAAGTGACTTGAAGAGTACAACCATTGTGATGGGATCCCTGGATTTGAAAGTTCTCGTAATCTATCCTATCATTTTTCTGGCTGTCGCAATATTTGCTTGGTTATGCTCCTTAAACGTTAGGTCGTCAGACATTATTATTCCCAAATCCTTTACATGCTGTTTTCCTACTATGGGTACATTTGATTGTGTTTTGTACTCTGTATTATGTTTAAGGTCCTCATTTTTACCGTACCTGAGTACCTGGAATTTATCACTGTTAAACATGTTTTTTTTCTGATGCCCAGTCGAAAACTTTATTAATATCAGCTTGAAGTTTTTCAATGTCTTCAGCCGAGGTAATTTTCATACTGATTTTTGTGTCATCTGCAAAGGATGATACGAAGCTGTGACTTGTATTTTTGTCTATATCTGATATGAGAATAAGGAAAAGCAGTGGTGCAAGGACTGTACCCTGAGGTACAGAGCTTTTCACTGCACTTGGACTAGATTTTATATGGTTGACCGTTACTCGCTGAGTCCTGTTTGACAGAAAACTGAGTATCCAGCGTCCTACTTTACCGGTTATTCCCATTGACTTCATTTTGTGTGCTATCACGCCATGGTCACATTTATCGAAAGCCTTTGCGAAGTCCGTGTATATCACATCAGCATTCTGTTTTTCTTCTAATGCCTCAGTGACTTTATCGTAGTGCTCAAGTAGCTGTGAGAGGCACGATCTTCCCGCTCGAAATCCATGTTGGCCTGGGTTGTGAAGGTCATTGGTCTCCATGAAATTGGTGACCTGACTCCTAATCACTCTCTCAAATACTTTTATGATGTGCGATGTTAGTGCAACTGGTCTATAATTTAAGTAGTTCTACCTAGGTGTGGGGAGCAGGAAGCAGGACACTAAGGCACAAAATAGGAGATTAAATCCTTGATAAATCGTACAGAGAAGAATTTAACGGTGTTGATGTCCTATTGAAAGTGACTCCTGAAGCCCACATCTAAAGCGTTTCATCAGCGGCGTATGCGAGGTTCGCTAACATAACAATTGCCTTCAGAAATTTGTCTAAGGAATTATGTTTACCACGCATGTCAGACCAATCCTGGAGTATACGGCTCCAGCGCGGAGTCCATATCTAGTCAAACAGAACACTAAGTTGGATATGGTTCAAAGGTATGTCACCAGACTAGTTCCAAAACGACTCAACCACTTGGAGTAGTCAGTACGGCTATGATCTCCCTTACTGCAGATCTGTTCTCGATCCCCGACGACCCAAGTGGTTGAGCAAGGTTCTTTCACTGCGTCGTATCTCAGATCCCTCTCCCAATATACCTACGTGAACTGTACATCACATCGTACCTGCCCTAGACCATATAAAAGGGAGAGCAGAGTGTGTCAAGAACTATAGCTACGTGATGCTAAAAGTCCCCATCACACAGGATGGTTAGTCATACAGAGGCATGTGATCAGTAGCCTACACTGACAGACTCTAAGTCCATTATGAGGATATCTTCAAGAACACGAGAGGTAATAAAGTAATTACAAAGCTCCAGGTACCTCATGCCAACTGGTCTGAATGGTCTGATAACTGGACATTCAGTGATGTAGTGCGGGAGATCATGCCGCAGTTCCTGCTCACACAGTTTGCACCTGGAGTGTTCAGGATTGGGAGATCCGTCACCTGTAGCCACCTGCCACAGGTAACGGTAGCCACCTGCCACAGGTAACGGTAGCCACCTGCCACAGGTAACGCTAGCCATCTGCCACAGGTAACGCCACCTGCTACAGGTAACGGTAGCCACCTGCCACAGGTAACGCTAGCCACCTGCCACAGGTAACGGTAGCCACCTGCCACAGGTAACGGTAACCCAACCTGATCCTGGCAACCACTGTGTCGCACAGTCTGGTCCACGTTTTGTGCTGCCCATAAACATAGGTTTCAGATCTGAACAAATCATAACTTTTTATACTGGTGCTTTCAGGTCGTTGGGAGTCAGTAATTTCTCTCCTATCAGACCTGAGTGTTTGGAACAATACAGTTTTGACAGCAGAGATGGGGATGCCTAGATCTAATTCAACTTTGTCACACGCTAATTTAGCTGCAATGTCTGTGTCATTATGATGGGTTATATTTATGTGTGATGGTATCCATACAAAGGAGATTCGAAACCCTTTACTCTGTGCATCAATTAGGTCATTTATAATTGGCAGTATGAGCTTCTTGCTGTCGATCTTCCAGGAGAAGTTTTCAATTGCTTGAAGAGCAGACTTTGAATCACAAAATATTATTCCTCCTCCGATGTTTTTTAATGTACTGGTAGCTAGGTGTGGTAGTGCTAGTTCTGCTTGTGTGGGGGTCAGCCAGTTGTTTAACCTGACATTGACAGGTTAAACAACCTGTCAGTGTCAGAAATATATTGTCAGGTTAGAAATATTTTAACCTGACATATTTCTATAAAACCTACATACTGCCGCTCCAGTCCGTCCAGTAGAAGATTGGACTGAGCCGTCGGTGTAGACACAGTGCTCGTGAAATCTTAAACTTTTGATGGAGGAGGCAGATGTTTCAAGAGTGACAGCTTGGAGAAGAGCAAGATTCTCATTACCTTTGTTGGTGACAGGTGTGTATGATACTTGAATGGTGAGGTACAGATAAAGAGGAATATCAGTGACAGGTAGACTGCACTTAAGAGGAATGTTGAACTGGATGAAACTAGAGATATATTTACTCAGTCATTTATCATACCAGGCGCGAGTATGCTGGCACCAATCAATAGGCTGTTAATGGCACTGAATAATTTGTCTTAAGCAATGCTGGCGATGTACTCTACGGACATCGCACGATATATTTCACTTACTCAACAAGGAAGATGAGGAACAAAGCGCGTACACGGACTTCCATTATTTGCTGTGACGAATTTCGAGGGTTGGACTGCTCCAGATCAGATCAGATTGAGGCTAGGCTTTTCGCGTAATAACTTGATCGATAAAGCTATTGCTTGATGCGGACCGTAACCTCTCATATCCATTACAGCCGAGGCGAGGAACTAGTGTTACCCTTTTCTATAAACCTCTTACGACTGTCCTCTTTATCCAACACGTCTTGTATAGAGCCTACGAAGCCTATACATCTTACAGAGCCTACGAAGCCTATACATCTTACAGAGCCTACGAAGCCTATACATCTTACAGAGCCTACGAAGCCTATACATCATACAAAGTGCCTCAAGAGTGTACATCATTTTAGTGAATCCAGCACATCTTGTACTCTCTTGGGAGTACTCTTGTACTCTCCTGTTCACACATTTCATCACTATTCCTGATCCTATCCCATCACGGATTGTTCTTCTTAATGTCTATCTCTTCACACACAGAGATCACACTAACGTGATGCATCAAATGAACTAATCCACAAGGGTCGTGACGAGGATTCGAACCTGCGTCCGGGAGCATCCCAGCCACTGCCTTAATCGACTGAGCTACGACTTTTAACCCCTGTCGTAGCTCGGTCGACTAAGGCAGTGTCTGGGATGCTCCCGGACGCAGGTTCGAATCCTCGTCACGGCCCTTGTGGATTTGTCCATTGTTCTCCATTCTCATTTTAGTCCTCGTGTCTCCTCCTCTTGGACCCGAGTCTTTGGCTCTGGCACCACCATCTTGTGTATCCTCCTGCTCCTCTTTCTTCATATCTTCCTGGAGAGGCTACACAAGAAGCTCAGACGACTCCTGACCCCGATTATTAAACCTCTTTTACTATCCTCACAAGCACCTGTGAGGGGGGCTAGGAGGGATGACTGATGCTCTCATTCCTATCCCCTCCTATCCTCCTCACTATTGATGTTGAGACATTCCTACCTACCTCCTGGGGTAGGTCCTTGGGCTCTTACCTGCGTAAAACACCCGAGGATCAGGATTTATATGTGGTTTTCTAAGTGCATGCTTCCCAGTGAGGTTCATATAGATTGCTGTTTATCATCTGAATGTGTACTTATTGACACCTGTTGCTGTGTGAGATCCTTACCCAACCGCTTCTGACCCTTCTCACGACCACCTGCTGGGAGTCACCTGGTCACCTACCCAGCTGCTACACACAGCCTACCACCACAACCACAACCTCCAGAGCTCTCGACTCAGGAGACACCCAAGTTTTTGGTGCTTCGAGGCAACAGGAACAATGTTTAGGTTGTGTGGTTGTGGTAGACGCTTCTCTACCACCACTACCACCACACAGCCGTACGCCATCATTACCACTATATAGCACTTGGAAGGAGTCAGGATAATGATTTGGAATGGGACGGAGGGAAAGGAATGGTGCTCAACCACTTGGACGGTCTCGGGGGATTGAACGTCGACCTGCATGAAGCGAGACCGTCGGTCTACCGTCCAGCCCCACGTGCTTGGACTAGCCGTACGCCAGGCCTTGGCAACCTAGAATGGGCTTCAACGCCAGGCCTTGGCAACCTAGAATGGGCTTCAACGCCAGGCCTTGGCAACCTAGAATGGGCTTCAACGCCAGGCCTTGGCAACCTAGAATGGGCTTCAACGCCAGGCCTTGGCAACCTAGAATGGGCTTCAACGCCAGGCCTTGGCAACCTAGAATGGGCTTCAACGCCAGACCTTGGCAACCTAGAATGGGCTTCAACGCCAGACCTTGGCAACCTAGAATGGACTTCAACGCCAGACCTTGGCAACCTAGAATGGGCTTCAACGCCAGACCTTGGCAACCTAGAATGGGCTTCAACGCCAGACCTTGGCAACCTAGAATGGGCTTCAACGCCAGACCTTGGCAACCTAGAATGGGCTTCAACGCCAGACCTTGGCAACCTAGTATGGGCTTCAACGCCAGACCTTGGCAACCTTGTATGGGCTTCAACGCCAGACCTTGGCAACCTAGAATGGGCTTCAACGCCAGACCTTGGCAACCTAGAATGGGCTTCAACGCCAGACCTTGGCAACCTAGAATGGGCTTCAACGCCAGACCTTGGCAACCTAGAATGGGCTTCAACGCCAGACCTTGGCAACCTAGAATGGGCTTCAACGCCAGACCTTGGCAACCTAGTATGGGCTTCAACGCCAGACCTTGGCAACCTAGTATGGGCTTCAACGCCAGACCTTGGCAACCTAGAATGGGCTTCAACGCCAAACCTTGGCAACCTAGAATGGGCTTCAACGCCAGACCTAGGCAACCTAGAATAGGCTTCAACGCCAGACCTTGGCAACCTAGAATGGGCTTCAACGCCAGACCTTGGCAACCTAGAATGGGCTTCAACGCCAGACCTTGGCAACCTAGAATGGGCTTCAACGCCAGACCTTGGCAACCTAGAATGGGCTTCAACGCCAGACCTTGGCAACCTAGAATGGGCTTCAACGCCAGACCTTGGCAACCTATAATGGGCTTCAACGCCAGACCTTGGCAACCTATAATGGGCTTCAACGCCAGACCTTGGCAACCTAGAATGGGCTTCAGGTGGCGTGCCGGAAACCTCTCTCACCACTCCCAGTGTCTTAAACCACTGAGTGCTTACCATTGGAGATATATAATGATATATTCCACTTTCTGGCACAAGAAGCGACCCCGAAGCTTCTGAAGACATTATATAAGACGTCCTCAGTAACGTTAACCGGTTCAACAACCACAGCCCTGAATTCCACAGCCTCGAAGCCTCAGGTCTTAGAGCCCTAGAGCACTCGAGACAGAGCCGTCCGCCCACCAGCTCTATATATTAGTAGTGTGAATCAAAACGCTAAAACAGTGCGAAGTTTACAAGATTTCAAGACCAAGTTACAGCCCAAGAAGGGTTCAAGAGAATGTTAAGATGTTTACATGAGCCTTGCCAGTTGCCAAGACAATGTTTAAATGCTGCATGAGCCTTGCCAGTTACCAAGACAATGTTTAAATGTTTGCATGAGCCTTGCCAATAATTGCCATGGACACAAATATCCAACCTTATCCAAAACACACAATTTAAACGATAATTTATCACCAGACTTAAATAAGGTGGTTCTGTAATCTTTAGCGAAACCCGTAGATCAACTTTCGTAGACCAACTGTAAATTAAATCATTTACAAAATTACTGAACTACAAAGAATCTAAAAAATTGAAAGGAACGTAAACAAATTTAAAAATACAAATTAGTCACATATTAGTGACAAGAACAGATCTATAATACAAAAAAGTTTTAACACCTGTTTGTTAACCTTTGTTGTTTATGTTATGGCCACCAGAGAGCCGGTCGGCCGAGCGGACAGCACGCTGGACTTGTGATCCTGTGGTCCCAAGCTGTTACCCATGCAGCAGGTCCCCACCCCCCCCCCCCACACCCACTCTACTGGAAAGTCTCCAATGGAAAAGGCAATAATATGTTATCAACATTATGGAAGTAACATGGAGGAGTTACCAAGGTGCCATTGTGATGGATAGACCCATCCCAGTGGTAGGATAGGAGATAGCGAGCCCCGTCAGTTCACGTTATCAAAACTCAAGCCCACGACATCCGGACCCAAGGTGATAGCGACTCAAGAAGGTGTAGTATCTTCACATTGGATACACCTGCTCCAACACCTGTCACTCAAGGCACTATATAGACTATGAGTCACAATAACGGGGCTGAAGACATGATGACCCAAACAATCATCACAAGATGTTGAAACGGCGACGTTTCGGTCCGTCCTGGACATTACGAAGCAATAAGATGATTATCTTAACATAATAAGAAGGTTAGGTAAGGTCGGTGTTTTCTATGAAGCTTTTCAAGGTAAACTAGTATGTTTAGTATGTCACATATGCACGTATGTAATATGTCAATATTGACTGTAAGAAAGTGTGAGAACGGGTTGCCAGGACGGACCGAAACGTCGTCGTCCCTTCACCTTCTAGTGTGTGGTCTGGTCACTACTAAAATAGGTGTCGGTACTCCAATATGCAATAATAATTCTGAACTATACACAAAACGTTTGTGACCCCCCCTCCCCCTTGCTCTCCACACGCACGCACGCACGCACGCACAAGTTACAGCTTAAAACAAAAAGCCTCAGACCGAACCTCTCAACTTTCAAATGGTCAAAAAAAAAAAAAAATCCAAAACCACGAAACATTTGTGCGTTAAAAACAAATTAATAATACAATAAAAGTTGAACGAATTGTGTTCTAGAATTCCGTGACAGGTTTCCAACTCCACGTTTGGTAACTCTAGAATGTTATATTAGGTAAGCACTTGACCTGAGGGAAGAGTTGATGTGCCAACCACAACAATATATTGAATCCATTGAGGTTAGTGGGGTCTTAGCCCTCCACCAAAGAGGTCAGGTTATCTTTAGATGATTTCGGGGCTTTAGTGTCCCCGCGGCCCGGTCCTCGACCAGGCCTCCACCCCCAGTAAGCAGCCCGTGACTGCTGACTAACACCCAGGTACCTATTTAACTGCTAGGTAACAGGGGGGCATAGGGTGAAAAAAAACTCTGCCCATTGTTTCTCTCCGGCGCCCGGGATCGAACCCAGGACCACAGGATCACAAGTCCAGCGTGCTGTCCGTTCGGCCGACCGGCTCCATGTATTTTCAAATATATTTTCACCTCAACCCCATTGTTACAAGGGACAAGGCAATGCTACGCCACATTTCAATAAGGATAATGAAATCGCAAAAGGATTTAGATTAAAAATCATATCGTATATCATCTGTAAAAGTGGTCGACACAGAGCTTAGAGAAATCTAGAGTCATCATCATCTAGGAACCTAGAAACTATGAGAGGAGGTTGACCAATCCACACACTAGAAAATGAAGGGACGACTACGTCTCACAATCGACTTGAGAATGGTCCAGGATAGACCGAAACGTCGTCGTCCCTTCACTTTCTAGTGTGTTGTCTGGGCAACACACTAGAAAGAAACACGTTTAGAAAAAAACACACGACGGTAGAGCGACGGTCTGGCTTCATGCAGGTCAG